TATACCCTTATGTACACCTGTCCTATTTTTTTTCCTAGTCATTATGAAGCAATACGAAAAGTGTCTTTACGCAAAAATATATCTGTACTTAGTCATTAAACTTGCATGTATTTTTTAAGTTGACACCACTTGTATCTTTAGACTCGTAAAAAAATGCCCGATAACTATAATTATGCCTTTTAAAACCAGTGAGTTATGCCTTTAGTGCAATAAGAAAAACGACGTTAAGAGAGTTTTAGAGAGATGTCTTATTGATAAGTTATGTAATCGATCACGCTGAAGCCAATGATGGAATAGTCAAAGTCAAAGTCAAAGTCAAAGTCAAAGATTATTTATTCCATAGGTAAAATAAATTTACACTTGAAAACGTCACATTTAACCTACATTTAAGCTACTGCTCGTTCACTACGCTGACCTCCCCGAGAAGAACGAGCAAGAAACTCTAGGGATTGCTCTTTTCAAATAAATTTAAATGCTATGGAATACACTTTGAATCAAGTTTGTGTGGATTCTGGAGCCATGTCGTCTTTCCATACATCTTTATCTAACACGTAGTCTTCAATTTTGTAATATGATTTTTCGATCAAAATATTTTTAATGTAGTTTTTAAACTTAGGAAATGATAAACTTAATATATGCTCCGGAATCTTATTGTAAAAACGTATACAGTTCCCCATAAAAGAGTTGTTTACCTTGGTTAAACGAAATCGTGGTACCATAAGTTTGGACTTAGCTCTAAGGTTAATATTATGGATATCTTCTTTCTTATTGAAATTATGTAAATTTTTACGGGCATATAAAATATTTGAGTAAATGTACTATGATGCCACAATCATGATACCAGTCTCCTTAAACTTTTCTCTGAGAGATACCCGAGAGCCTAGACGGTACACAGAACGAATCGCTCGTTTTGCAATACAAATATGGTTTGAATATCTGCCGCTTTATCCCATATGAGAATCCCGTAGGACATTATACTATGGAAGTACCTAAAGTAAACTAGTCTAGCAGTACTAACATCGGTAAGCTCACGTATTCTGCGGACTGCGTATGCAGCGGAGCTTAATCTGCTGGCCAGAGACGATATATGTGGAATCAAAACAAAAGGGCATAACTCGTCTTATTCTGTCTTTCACTGGAGGCACTGATTTGTCGACTGCAATCACTAGCTGCTTCTATCTAGGCTGGCAATACTTTTTCGCAATGAGCTGTCATTTTACGTCATCTTAGAAAAATTATAGTACGAAGTATTTTCTTTAATTTTGTTATCAAAAGTTTATGTTTCTGAACGAAAACGATACATAACTTTCTTTTACTAAAGGATTTTATTTTTTATTTCACGCTAAATAAAACTTCACAAAATGTTTCCAAAAGAAAGAAAATAACATGAGCCCTTAGAATAATAACGCATAGAAACCTAGTCCGCACACTCTAAGTGAGGCAAATTGAAGCGCTCCCAATGGGCCTACACGAACGGGCGGGCCTTCAGTGCTCAAGGTCAACTTGCACAGTGATCAGCTCAAGAACTTTAGCTAAAAATGACGAAATGTGCGGTAAATGAGTGTAAAAATACGTCAGACAAACATAAAATAGATACTAACATCACATTCCACAAGGAAGTAACGCGTTTCAACTTGTATTTTTATATAAATATTCACCAAAACCGAAAATTAACCTACTACTAAAACTAACCTACATGAATTTGATTTTTGCCTCTCTTGTGACAGTTCGTTTGATATGGAACTATCATTCTATTCGTTATTATTCTAAGCATGAGCCCTCATATTATATTTTTGTAATGTCATTAAAAAAAATTATAACCATTCATGTGCATAATAACCTTAATAAATTACATTAATTATTACAGACTTCCATGTCAAAATAGTAATTAATGTGACAGTTACATAATGAAATGCATGAAACACGAGACGAATGTTTTAATGTCTAATTGTATACATACAGTTACATACAGTGCTTTATCTATACACATATTATAAGCTCTCTTTGATGTGTTCAGGAAACGCATGTTACGACTGGTGAAATGGCGGCAAATAAAAACTTTTCTCACGCATGTCACATAAACGTAGTTTTTATTTAATTCATAGACAAACTACAGTCGGCCCCAACTATCATATCGTTCGATATCAAGTAACGTGTGAAATTAATTGACCTACCAACGAATGGACGTCGGGTCTAATACAAAAACCAAGAAAAAAATGTCCGAAGTTAAGCTATACAAACGTAGTGACATGTAACGAAATATAAAAAACTAAAACATTTAATTTAAATTGTAACATCATTGCAGTACTGCCTAATTTTGCTTGCAACAATTTAAGGGCCCGAACACACCATATTCAGATTCTGTAGTCTTTCAACCCTGACGTTGGCGAAATTGTCGCGCGAAACGACGGAGCCATAGCTACAAAAGTTGAAGTTGAAGTTTAATTTTGTTACACCGATCCTAACATTGGATAGTAAGGATTGATAAGTATGCACAAAAAGAAAAATTAATTATTTTATAAAGGATTTAATAAAAAGTTAATTATTACAAAATTAATGATTTAGCTACCGCGTACACTTATATAACATATCATTTATGATTAATATTAATGAGTTAATTTATTCACTAGATTAATTTATGACCGCCCGCAATTTATTGACCTCCAAATGTAACTATGGCGGCGGGTTCCCATCCGAGATCAGATAGGTCACATATCATTAGGCTGTAATAAAAACTCTCATTGGAAATGAATTTATTTTTTCGGTTGTTCTTCTTAATCGCTTCCTCACTTCTAAGGATCGTGTCTCCACTTTATTCTGCCGACTATTTGTCTCCATTGGTGGAGTGCGGTGTTGACAGGTAGTTCCAGTTGTTCGGATATCTGACCCTATACTTTCGTTCATCCGACATCCGTCCGAAACAATTGTAATAATCACAATGTGACAACTAAGGTAGACGATGGTGTCGATACCGCCAATCAACATACGCCAACTCCATTTTTTGGTCATTTTCTGTTATTTTTTAAACATTCATATTTATTTACTAACATTATGTTCCCCGAATTTTTAAAAAAATCTAAAGAAACAAAAAGTAAAATTGGAAAAAGAAACAAAAAACAAATTTTGTGAATAAAAAAGAATCTAAAACAATTAAAAAATAACGAACCGATCGGGTACCTCATCCGAGTCTCGATATCAGACGGGTTTCCGAGCGAGAAGATGAACCTGATTCCTACTATATCTTTCTAATTTGTGAATTAAATCAGCTATTGTTCCGATTAGAAATGTCAAAAGTTTCCAATCGGCTAGTTGTGAATCGCAATTATGCGCCTCGACTCGGAAAAGACGCAGTTTCCGATCGGGAGAGGCAATCCAAATCAAGTGTAGTGTTATCGGTACGTAACTTTGAATGCAATCAACGAAACAGTGAACCAACAATTATTAACTTATCGGGTTTTAAAAAATATATTATTTTTAGCGCAGTATTATATAACTAATATGATAGAAAATATTTCAAGTATATCTTCGCACGAATTCCAAAATAAAATGCAATTTTGAGTTAATTCTAAACGTCTTAAAACAGATAGGTCTCACGGACTTGTATATTGAACTGGATCGTGCACTAAGTTAATAAAACGAGCCGAGTGAGAGGCTTCAAAGTAGTAAAGCGTCTCTTTCTAATAGAGTGTTCATTCATTTGTCAGCCAGCCATATTGTTTTTACCTTTTTAGTTTTTACAGAAAATGTGGCCGCTTATGGATGACCAAAACTACTAATATTGTTTCATAATACAAATTAGTCTACTTATTTGATATGCGACTTCATGATAGAAGGTTTCATTGTTGATATCTATTTTTTGTATTTTGTATTATTACAGTAAAAACATATTATCTTTAAACAAATATATATATCCAAAATTTAAAAAAGTTGATAAACTAGACACTACCTAAGAAGATTTTTATTGCGTTGGCAACTTGTTAGACAAGGACAGACCACTACTTCGAGCTATCTCACGTGGTTCGGTTTTTACTTTTACTTAAAATAAGCATCAACTTAATCTCATAAGGTGTAAATTTGTAACATTGGTATATCGAAGTGAGCAATCCAGTTTATGAAGTATATAAATCCGTGATAGGTCCTCAATCTATTTTTTTTTTATATAATAATGTTGTAACCAATTAATCGACGAAGTTCACGGAGTCAATTCAATTTCACTTAAAAAAGTATTTGGCTTTTTGATTTTGACCTCTGCCAAAATCTCTATGTTAGCATTGATAATATGATTGAAAGTTAAATATTATACATACAGGAGATCCTAGCTCAACTGATGATTTTGCCTCACCTTCCGATGGAAGTGGTTAAAAATTTAAACTATGACGACGTTCTTTTCTTTTTGGTTCAGAATTTTGCTATTTAACTACGGGTAGTCATTGTCACCATTCAAAATACTTACTAATTATTTGTGTTAAACTCTATATTGCTTAAATAAATGTTAATTATTATCACAAATATAATCTAAACGATCACAGCCTCATAAGATTCCGAATCGACTTATATGGTTACCGATATGTTTAGCTACATCCCTATTAACGGTGCGATGACAAGTGTCTTAAGGAGCCTCTTATTTTGTGACGACTATAATACTGTCAAACAAGTGACATTCGAGCAAATTAAAATACAATGTGAAGTATGAAGCTTCATTCGCATCATGCCTTTTTTAATTGGGTCGAGTATTACTTATTTTCCAGTAGTTGTTTCGGACGGAGAATGAGAGTAGATCCCCTGATCCTACCACCGTTCGGGGCTCCTGCCTTCAGGTCTCTTCCCTTCTACCTTCCCTGTCATCATCAAACGCTCTAGGTTATCAGCATCTCTACGTGTAACGCGACCAAACAGACGCTGTGCATTATCTATTTTGAGTTCCTTAAGTACAGAGACATTCATGTGGCGGGCTGTCCACGGTATTCTTCAACACCACATTTCAAAGGCGTCAATTCTTCAAACAAGGCTTTGAGTTTCCATGTCTCTGCACCATATATTCACCATTATGATACTTCTCGGAAGAAAGGGAGTAAAAGCAACAGAACAAAAATTGGTTAAACAAAAATTTTTAAATTATGCACATATCATCGGATGAAGTCAAGTGACAGAGGTCTGTGACAACCATGTACATTGGCTGATCTGGGGTCAAAACCTGAATTCGCATGGTTCCTGAGCGCGCACAGGTTACAGTGCCCTTCTCGTATACCCTAAGGGTCGGTAGGGAGGGTCCCCATAATCAAAACTAATGTAGAAGATATGGGTCTGCTCATACAGGGATATGTCCGGAAATTGTCACAGGATACTGCGACCGACATCTCCGGCACTAGCCCCGAGAGCTAGTAGAGGATGCCGCCACCACCAGTGGCGTAGGTTTCTGGAAACTGGAGAGACGCCTCGGCATTGGGAGGTGAGCGTGCCTACAGCTCCGCTACCAAAGAGGAGTTTTGGTAGTGGACTTTATAGGTGACAACCGTTAGTTGTGCAACGGGAAATGAGCGTGCCAACAGCTCCGGTATCTATCTGGACAATAGGGAGGGCGTTGTACGCACCCGGAGCAGCCCACCTAAGCGCAATAGCCTTTTGAAAATCGGATGACGTCTGTGCAAACGGGTTGATCTAGTGACAGATATGGTCCTGACTGATAAGGTCCCTGTGCGGGTGTGCTTGCACAGGTTATAGTGCCCTTTTCGTATAACCAAGAGGTTGATAGGAAGGTCAGCATATACAAAATTTATGTAGAAAGATATGGGACTGCCCATAAAAGGGCACCGTGCAACTTTGCTTGACAAAATTGGACCATGTTGTTACCGAATTTGTGTATGTCCTAGCCGGTTTTGGCCATTGTTTAGAATTAGAGCTACGGATATTTGCTCTATCATGTGCCCTTGGATTGGTAAATGTTCGCAAACAGTGGCGACACGTAAGGACACCGCCAACAAAGTAATAAAAGATGGCTGCAGGTGTTTTAGCCTTGAGAGCATCACGTTTCGCGTCCAGGTCCGACAGTCTCTGCTCCTCAAATTTTGTCACCTGAGTTTTCACAAAGTGCTTTCACCCAGAACGGCAAATCGACTGCGTCTTCCACCTCGAGGGGTCATTGTTGCAACTTTTCATGTATCTTTTCAGAACGTCCTTGTATCTAAAGAACTGCTTGCCATTCTGAAGTTCAGAAAAGAAGATACGCTTCGCAACCGAATTTAATGGAGATGTCTGTAGATAATTCGAAAATTTAAAATCAATGTTTAGTTTGTGCGTTTGTTAATTTAATAGAATTTAGTGACATCTATTAGCGCCTCCATTTTGGCAAAGTATAATAAGACAAACAGCAACTTCCGAACCCGAACTTTGCAATTCAAGTTCACTTCGAGGTTTTGGGAACTTCCGTACACGTACTAGTCGCGCTGCTACGTTTGTATGGAGTTAGGATGGCCACATACAGTCCACGGGGGCAGCAAAACTATACAAATCAGACTTATAACACACATACAGTACTATACTATTTGAATTTTCTTCCGATTCGAAGTTCTGTATAGTCGCTTGTGCATTAGAAATTCACCACGGAGAATGCCATTCTGAATGCAAGTCTTCCATACATTTTGTGGGATCGCAACACACAGTCGCAAATTCCGTACGTACCTAATTTCGCTGCGAGAACATCAGGACTCAATGCCTCTCATTTCTTAGCTGAGTCTTGTCATTCCGAATGAAAATAAACGTATGAGTGTGATGTATATACGGAATCTCGAATCGAAGTTTCGAATGTGGCCAGCCTAACACTACTTATCTTATTGTATAATGATTTTGGAGTCCATAGACAATTTGTCGGCATTGAGTTCCGGGTGGATTATAATCATTTACTGCATTTTGATCGTTAATTTAATTCTATTAAATTACAATTTAGACATCTTCTTGAACATGTTTTCGTATCTCATGCTGTAAAAATAAATAAAAATTAATTACAATAATAATTAACAATTAGGTACAGACAATGCCCTATACTCCGTCGAACCATTTATTTAACTTTTGACATATTCATGCCTGGACATCACTAATTGATTAAGATTCGTGCTGTCACTAAAATTAAAAATAAAAGAGTCCAGGAATTCCCTTTTTTGTCTATGGTTGTATGTCAATAATTACGGAACTTCGGAGGCATACATATAACAAGAGTTATATAAATGGTTGGACAGAGTATAACTGCAAAAATGCAGTCAATCTGTTAGCAACCTAAAACGTCATTCGCTAATTTTGCATTAAGGAAGTCATACTAAAATGAATGTTACGTCTATCAGGTTAAAGGGTATGTTTCTTAAACACGAACGACGAAAGGTCGTCACACTGATCTACTCAGACTATTTATTACATCTATGTGACAATTTTTACCGAAATCGATTGACGGAAAGTGAATTAATTCAACAAACTGCATTCATCGCCTAATTTGCCACCTTTAGAGGTGGAATAATATCGTCAAATTTGAATGGAACCACTATGAAGGTACGCCCGTTTCAACAAAAAAAGAACCGTCGAAATCGGTTCGCAAATCATGAAGTAATCACGTACGTACACACACAAAAGTTTTTTGAACTCGATTATAAATATAACTCCGTGTGTTACACTTTTTTAATCGACTTTAGTAAAGGAGGAGATTCTGAATTCGATTGTAATTTTTGTGTATGTATTTTATGCGATTATCCCGGTATTTATGAACCGAATTTGATGATTCCTTTTTGTTGGAAAGAGGGTATTTCTATATGGGTTCCATTTAAATTTGAAGAAAATATATCACCTCCAAGAGGGGCAAACTAGGGGATGAATCCGATGTCACTCCTTCCGGTAATCGATTTTAATAAAACTTGGCAAAAAATGCCGATGACGTAAGTTATAGATACGCCCTGGTGGCCTAATGGTTTGACAAGCAGAGCCCGTGGTTTTGAATCCGAGCTCGCATCTCAGTTTCTAGGAATTTTTTTTTTCAACAAGAACTTGGTTTTATAAATCAAAATAAAACATTAAATTTACACGACAATGATCCAAATTTTTATTGTATTAAAAAAAGTGAAGTTTGGCAATTGTGAATGAAAAATGTTATCTGATAAATGTCCACCACGACCACAGATGTCGATTCTTTCATCAAAGTTTTTAATCCCTTTTTGACAAATAGTGTGTCTATTTAGTTAATCACTTCTCGAATTTTGAGTTTTAATGCTGCAATCGATTCGATTGGCTCCGTATATACTCTGTCTTTAACATAACTCCATAAAAAATAATCACTGCTGGTCACTTAACGTGAAATTATGCGATCGGGAAATTTGGTTTGCAATAAATTCATTGTTTCGGTGGCTGTGTGACTCGACGTCTGTAACTGTGGTCGTGGTGGACATTTATCAGATATCGTTTTTCATTCATAATTGCCAAAATTTACTTTTATTAATACAATAAAAATTGAATCATTGTCATCTAAATTTATTGTTTTAATTTTATTTACAAAACAAGGTTCTTGTTGAAAAACCCTTTATGTGAAATCAAATTTACACACACACCTACACGTCGAAGAAGGTTCACGACTCTTGGAAAACTTGTGAAGTCCCCAACCCGCATAATACCTTCGCCTGGGAGGTGACCGGTACCCAGCAGTGGGACGTATTAATGGCATGATGATAATGACGATGACGTGGTCATGGTTAGGAGAACAGAAATCTGTTACTTATGTAGGCTATAACGTCGCCAAATAAAATTTGCCATCTCACCGACGAATCATGGCGCGCCGCATGGCTTTCGTGTCGAATGTCTCCGGATCTATCGTGTCAATCCGAGAGTTGCTCTCTAGACCGGGCATAATGTCACTGTCGTCACTGTTTTTATCTTCTGCAACACAAAAATATCGAGCGCCCATTGTGAATTGGCAAATATTGTTTGGCAAACGCATTTGGCAAATGTTGATTGGCCAATTCAGTACCGCTACATTAGGTGACGCAGCAGAGAATGGCCTATAGGTTTCCAAATTTTTTTGCTCACCCACTTTGGCATGATAAAAGACAATTCACATACAAAAATCACAAGGAAAAAAAAATTGTAGTGTAGTTTATAGAGATGCGCCGAGTACTCGTTTGCTACTCGGTACTCGGTGTACTCGGCCGTTTTTTTACTACTCGTACTCGGCCGAATAACTCGGTTCGTGAGAAGAATACTCGATTAAAATAAAGGATTACGGCTATAGACATAATAAAGCAAAACCAACAATATATTTAAAATAATCAAAAGAGATTTATGACAACAAATTCTAGACAATTGTAACAAATTGTAGCAATTTAGTAATTTAAAAATGAAGTTTACATTATTAATAATGAAAATTTAACAAAGGCAAGTTATGATGTAGGAATACAAGGCTTTCTGCGCGTTCAGGTAAAAGTAATAATAACAATGTCATTGACATGTCGGTCTAATTCTAGAGCAATCGGACTTTTAGAATCATCGCGTTCCGGTTGTAATGAACCGAGTAACTCGGCTAGGCAAATGTTAAACCGAGTAATATTCGGTACTCGGTTATTCGGTAAAACTTGTACTCGGTGCATCTCTAGTAGTCTATATATCTAACATTTAGGTTTTTTTTGAAATGCGGTAGCACGCCCTGGACAGCATCTACGTTCCTCAATTGCTTCCGAGGCCCCTAACGCCCCACTAGGACTTTACAGCGCCTATCGGGAGGCGGAGGGACTACTTTGGGAAACCATGACCTAGACCCTTTCTCTATGGGTTAATACTGTCCATGGTTGGTTCCAAAGTTATCAAGCCAGGTCTCCGGAGGAGAAGCGGAGAAACCTGTTTTGCAAAATCAAAATGTTTTTGGTTTTTACTATTTAATAACGGACTTATAAATTACGACGAAAAATATACGATACATCTAAGTATGTTGTCTAAAGAATATCCTAATTTGTTACAAGATGGGATCTACTTTACCCGATCATATACAATCTTGTAAACAAGCTAGAATAAAAGTCTGTAAGGAATTATTTAAGAATAAAATATTTAACTTTACACATAATTTTTGTATGGCGATATTTCTTTTTAAGTACTAAAGAGCATCTGTCAAATTTTCAAGTGTAGACAGGGTCTACACTTCAAAATTTAACAGATTCTCTTTAGGGCGCGTTCCCACTATGTCGTCACGTTTTATTATCGTTGGACGACTGTCGTGTCAGGCCTGTTCCCATATCACGACTATCTGTCGTGGACGATTTTTTATCGTTGAACGACTGTCATGACTAGCTGTTCCCACTAGATCGTGACGACCATTTATCGTTTCACGACAGCCTCCTTGCCCATCTCTGGCTACGACCCAACGCTACTGCAAAGTGAGCAGAGGGCGCGGGGTGCGAGAGGGGCGGGCAGGGAGCAGAATAACAATAGACAATAGGAGCTGCGACAATCTGTCGTCACGTTTTTATAGTGACTTTTTTATCGTCTGACGACTGTCGTTCTAGCTGTTCCCAAAGTGACGACAGTTTGTCGTTGCAACGATAAAAAATCGTGAACGACAGTTAATCGTGTCGTGCTATATGCGAACAACTTCATTTAAATATACAAGCCACGACACTGTAAACTGCACGACAATCTGTCGTCACGACATAGTGGGAAGGCGCCCTTAGTACTGTCCGCTGCCCTGTCAGTCGCCATCGGGCGCTTGTCAACGTTGGACCTGTGTAAAATTTTCTCCACTTGTCTTATTTAAGAGTCGTTCCGTATTAATACGGTTCATTATGCTTGGAACGACTGGCAGGGAGTCTGGCTTTATTTCAGAATTTTTTTTTACAAACGTAATTAAAGCTATTATATATTATATATTTAACTGCCTCCGTGGCCGAACGGTTACCATGCCGGACTGCCACGCAGAGGTCCCAGGTTCGATTCCCGGGCTGGGAGAAATATTTGTATGGCCTACATTTATTTCTCTCGTGAGTTTGGGTGTAATTTGTGGTTGTCTATGTGTGTGTCCATGGCACCCGCGACACAGGGTTTCCCTAGTGCGGGGCTATGTTGAGTGTGAGCGTTATTATTATTATTATTATTATTATTATTATTATTTGAAAAATGTGTATCGTTTACTACTCGTGTTCCGTTTAGTTCAGTTGATATAAAAATAATCGCTGTTATTTTTGTTACCTATTGAATACAGCGGTTTTATTGTACATTTTCGAGGTAATTTTGTGTTTTTTTTTTCAATCGTGAAATTTCTTAGGAATCCATTGACTTACAAATAATTGGACGACGGGTCTAATACAAAAACCACGAAAAAAATGTCCCAAGTCAACCTATTTAAACGTATTGACATGTAAAGGAATATGAAAAAGCTAAAACGTTGAATTTAAATTGTAATGTCATCGCTCTTTTAAATTGTAATGTCAGTACTGTCTAATTTTGCTTGCTTCGCTGTCAGTCGAACAAACGAAGACTAAAGCGTGAATGACGCTCTGTATAGGATTTTAACGCCCTATAAGTTCACTTTTTAGCGCGGACCCGACGTCCATATAATTGTAAGTCAATGTAGGAATCCTATTTTTACATCGTGTGTTCCACAGTTTTGCTATATATTTTTTCCAAAGTGATTATTTCGACACTTTCACTGTTATGGGGTATTAACCAAAGGTGGTATCGACTGTTAATTTTTTTTTTTGGGCACGGATTGCGGCACCACGTTCAAATACGTTCGTTAACAATAAGACCAAAACCAGATTATACTCCGAAATAAATTGATCACCTGTTCTACGATATAATTACCTTTAATAATGTCACTGGCGTGAAGACTGCCATCGTAATACACGTTACCCTCTGTATCTTTGATCAGCTCTGGAAAATGTTATATGATTTACGGAATATTTGTGAAGGGTACTTATTTAATTATATTACATCCGAAAGGGTGACACAATATCTTATTTCAATTTAATGATATCGCCAGAGGACTGTCTGAAACATTGAGTATATAACCAGAAATAGAGACGAAACACTGCACTGACATCACAAATTAGAAAGCTGAAATAATACATTGCCAACAACCGACCTGCGTGTACGTCTCCGTATATTCTAAAAATATTCTGTATTTATTGTAATAAAAATAACATCTCTAACTATGGGGTGCTGTTCCGTTCGGTGGTGTGGGAAAAACAGCAAAACATCTAATTACAAAACAAACGGAACCACATTTCATCGGTAATTAAATATTAAATTCGTAATTTTTCAATTTTCGTCCATTATAGCAAAGCTCATATTAAACTGGTAAATTTGAAGTGGAATAATTGACGACACCCGTCAATTGTATCGAATTCGGGCTGGCCAATCGAAGCGCAGTTGTCACCGTAATGATTTGGCAGAATAGTTTTCAAACAAATTAAATGGACATTCTATTTCTAATTATATACTCGATGGTCTGAAATGACAAGCGTCGTCGTTCACTGCCATGACTTCCAAAACTATTTAGTTCAATTAGTTCTACGTAAAGATGTAAGTTACTTCTGTTATTTGTTATTATTAAGTGGGTAAATATAATTATACTGTTACCTTTTTTTGGTAAATAGGTTGTCATGGAAGGTATTAACGTTTTTATCTATCTAAGGGGGATTTCAACAATTAATATCGAAAAACCGGTTAAGTCACAAATTAAACTTACCATATTTACTAAGATTTGATTCCAGTTTATCGTTATCTGAAATAAAAAGAATGCATTATTGAAATATGTATAATATATTTTCGGATATATAATTCATTATGGTGGTAAAACATTATACAATAAATAAATATAATAATCAAAATTGTTTTTTTAATTACTTATTTTCATATACGAAGGGCAGTTAAAAAGTAATGTCTCCTTACTTTTATTAATCTCTCAGAAGCAATCTTATTCAATTTCTAAACTTTTTAACCGACTTCAAAAAAAAGGAGGAGGTTCTCAATTCGTCTATATGTTTTTTTGTATGTATGTTACGCGATAACTTTGAAATCGATTTTGATGATTCTTTTGTTGGTGGAAAAAGGTACTTCAATAGTGGTCCCATTTAAATTTGAAAACAATATTCCACCTCTAAGGGTGTCAAACTAGAGGATAAACCCGGTTTCGCGCGCTTTGCGGTAACCGATTTCAAAAAAATTTGGCAAATAGATGTAATCCCACGAACTTTTCAGATCAGTTTTTTAGTACTCTGTATTGAAATTATGTCACTTCCAAATTGACTAATAGATCAATGGATTTAAAACTAAAATATAGAGCCGCCATTGAGTTTCAGACAAAAGACGGTTGTGTGCCTAAGGAAATCTATAATCGCGTGAACAATGTTTATGGGTAAGCTGTTATAGACATCCGAATTTCGTGGTATCCCAAGTCATCAATTATTCTCTGGGCGGAGTCATATGTGGCACTCGGTACGTTCTTGATTTGATTTTTTTATAATACCGGGACGAACAAGTCGTAAGCCTGGTGTTAAGCGACACGCCTATCTACAGCTGTTGAAATGTCACTCACAGTTTTAAATCACAAGGAGGTCTACTGCTACTAGAATGGAATTGAATTGGATCTTCATTTGATGTTATCGGCCTGCCGCTTCTCTGTTTATCTACAGTATCTGTTTCCAAACTTGTTCACCCAGCGCTGAACGTTACTGGTGTCCATTACAGCATTCCCATAAAACGTCACCTTTAAGCTTCTGCTCGTTTACTATGCTGACTTCCCTGAGAAGAACAAGCTAGAAACTCTAGTGATTGCTCCTTTCGAATAAACTTAAAAGCTATGGAATACACTTTAAATCAAATTTGTGTGGAATCTAGAGTCATCTTTCCATACATCTTTATCTAACACATAGTCTCCCATTTTGTAATATGACTTTTTAATTAAAATATATTTAATGCAGTTTTTAAACTTAAGAAATGATAATCTTACCTAATAAATGCTCCAGAATTGTCTCAACGTGTATAGTTCTTCATATTCTTAGTGTTTAAAATAAATAAATAAATAAAATAAAATAAAATAAATAAAAGAGTCGTTTAACTTTGTTAAACGAAATCGTGTTACCATAAGTCCAAACTTAGCGCTAAGATTAATATTATGGATATCTTCTGTCGTAATGAGATTACGATATTTTTACGAGCATACAAAATATATGAGTAAATGTACTGTGATGCCACAGTCATGATACCAGTCTCTTTAAACTTGTCTCTGAGAGAAACCCGAGAGCCTAAACGGTACACAGTACGAATCGCTCGTTTTTGCAATACAAATATGGTATGTATGTAGGTCTGCCGCTTTACTCCAAATGAGAATCCCGAATCCTTCACTCCTGCACGTATCCAAGTGTAGGACGTTACTACTTACTAGTTTTTTAGCTTAGCTTTGTCCGTGGTGTGGCCTGATCTTCACACAGATTAAATCCTTTTGGTTTTCTCTCAGAGAAAAGTTTAAGGAGACTGGTATCATGACTGTGGCATCACAGTACATTCACTCAAATATTTTGTATGCCTGTAAAAATGTATATAATTTCATTAAGGAAGAAGATATCCATAATATCCTTAGAACTAAGTCCAAACTCACTGTACTATGATTTCGTTTAACTAAGGTAAACGATTATTTTATGAGGAACTGTATACGTCTTTACAATAAGATTCCGGAGCATATATTAAGATTACAATTTTTTAAGTTTAAAACTTACATTAAAAGTATTTTAATTGAAAAGTCATATTACAAAAGTGTAAACTACGTGTTAGATATATGGAAAGACAACATGAGTATAGATTCCACAGAAATATGATTCAAAGTGTATTCCATAGCATTTAAATTTATTTGAAAACAGCAATCCCTAGAGTTTCTCGCTCGTTTTTGTCAGGGAAGTCGGTACAGTGAACGAGCAGTAGTAGTAAACAATAACGTTTTCACGTGTAAAACTTTTACTTTGTGGGGTCTAGATGATGCCTGACTGGCCAGCCATCAATCAATAACTAATTGCTGCAATTATTTCTACAGTATTTGTAATGGCTATCAATAAAGTTGTTATTAATTATTATGAAATAAAATGTACCTGGAAAAAATCCGGTGCTGGTAATCACAGTATTGGTGATCGTTAGTTGAGGTGCCATTGTCACCGATGCGGGTTCTGCGGTCATTGACTTGGTCACCAATGATAGTGGCATGGATCCTGTATACATATAACGAAAGCAGTAAAATTTCGTTTCCATTGTTTAGAGTATAAGGTGATAGTATTGCCCCTTTATATAATTATACAATTTGAAATTTATGACCTCATCATGGTGATCTCATCAAGACCGATAAGATACATACAAAACATATTTAAAAGCAAAGAAATTTCAAACAATCACGTGGTTATCATTTCAAATTAGTTCGTGCGCCTTCTAAAACATCTGCTGCACGCAATTTTTTTTCAGTAACAGAGGGGTGTTTAAATTGGAATGTGTGCAGAAGATGTTGTTTCTGCTGTCTCTGTTAATGCCTTCAAAAACAAGCTCGACAACTGGCTACGAAGTGAATTAGTGCTAAAAAGTGAACTAAAAGAAACGATATAAATTTCAATATTGTGTGATTGAGACATACCAGCGAAAGCTGCTCGTCTATAATCCAATAAATAAAATGATTGACACAAAGATGGAACACTCAGACAAAATTCCTTCGATCCGGTCGAATTCGAACCGATGTCTTCTTGCATACCGTGACAGACGCTATACCAATTAAGCCACGGAACGAACCAACTGACCTCACGAATTTTTCTATGTGCTTGCGTCGTGTCTTTGTATTTGGTTTTTCAACGACTTTTTAGTCGTAGCGCCATCTATGAGAAATCTATGAAAGATTTATCACCCAGTTTGTTAGTACCTTTACAGCTTTACAAGCTACCAGCTTTTTTTTCTGAGTGTTTGATCTTTCTATTAATAATTATATTATAACAAATTAGTGGAGTAATTTTACAAAAAATAATTGAATATCAATTCAATAAAAATTTAATTAAAATGATTGGCATCAAATTTTTTTTTAACGTGTAAATTAAATATTTTAAAGATTATTTCTTACTTATTTCAAAGTAAATACAACATTTGCAAACAGAAACTTGAAGAAGATATCGGCCCATTTGCATAATTTAATTAATAAGGAATTAGAAATATACGCCAAAAGTTATAGAAACTACAAGAAACTTATATCAAAATCATTGATCAAAATGAATACAGTTCAAATTGTATCAGGAAACCGATGTTCTACTAGAACACTTCATTTAAAAACACTACTCGCATAAGTTAAAAATGAAAAATGTGCATTTATAGCTACGGACGAGCGGTACCTCCTGACACTGGCTTGATAAGCTTAAAAGAAGGTACCATCCACTGTTAATGTAAACTTAATTGCGTCACTAAAATAAACGTTTTTTTTATTTATTATTATTATGTATACCAAGAATCTTGTATTAGTACTTAATGGTTGTTAACTCACTTATAATAAAAGAAGATATATAATAAAATATAATAGAAGAAGTGTTGAAGGACACGCGCCATATATTTGTGAAAATACTTTTGTCATAATAATTAAAAAAATTAAAATAAATAAAGAATAACAATCAAGTTACGAGAATCTGCTAGAAATTTGTGCACTATGTTTTCGATGAGCATGTAAATTATTTATACATATCCATTGACTTACAAATAAATGGACGACGGGTCTAATACAAAAACCACGAAAAAAATGTCCTAAGTCAACCTGTTTAAACGTAGTGACATGTAAAGGAATATGAAAAAGCTAAAACGTTGAATTTAAATTGTAATGTCATCGCAGTACTGTCTAATTTTGCTTGCTTCGCTGTCTGTCGAACAAACAAAGACTAAAGCGTGAATGATGCTCTGTATACGATTTTAACGCCCTATAAGTTCAGACTCTTTTTAGCGCGGACCCGACGTCCATATAATTGTAAGTCAATGTACATATCAATAAATTTAACTATGAAGAAGATTATGAGAATAGAATTTAAGAAAATATTCATAAAATAGGTGATGCCACCCATAAGTGATGCCACCGTCAGTGCTGTGAACCGATGTATACATGATCTATGAAAGGATATCTAGGATTTATACATTTATGTATTACCTTGAGGACTTTTAAGTGACCTTGGCTTGGTGTTAATTATTGCTTGGAAAAGTCGTCGAGGTTTGAAGCCCTTTGATGACAGCGCTAGAGCACCGGAAGGTGAAATAGGAGGTGGTATTTTGATGTCTGAAAGAAAGAAGAAGATTCATGGTCGTAATGGAGAGTCCGTATTTATGATAGCAGATAGCAGGACTCTTCTGGGCAAGTCTTTAAATCGTGTGCCAAGTAACATTGTGAAAATACCGGAATATCTGAGGAGATAACAAGTCGCTAACTAACCCATGTGAAATTTCCCGGTCAAACAGCATAATGCCAATGGAGAAGCGAAAACGAACTTAGCAGCTTCCAATGTGGATTTTAAGGCTTCAATGGTTATTCACTTATATGTATATTTTTATTAAATTATATATAATAATAAATACAAATATGTTTCGACTTCAGATTCGCGTGTGGATACAGTGTAGTTTGTCGGAAAGAAGTGAGTAACAATAGTAACTCCACAAGTAATTGAGATGAACGTCGTCGTCGACGGCGAATGAGGGTAGACGGATATCGTCGCCTAAATTTGAAACCTCGTAACTTTGTTTTTGTAATAAATCAGTTTTCTATTCTTCACGAACGAAACCGTGCTTCAGCGCGTTCATATGTCCCGGAAAAGATGCCTTCTATCAAAACGCGCAAAATACAGTATCTCAGTCATATGATCAAGAACTTATAATGATGGGCAAAGTGCAGAGAAAGAGACGCGCTGGGCGAAGAAAGAAATCGTGGCTGCAGAAGGTCCGGGAGTGGACCGGCATTGCCTCCGTCAAACAACTGTTCCGGTTGGCTGCTGATAGAGACAAATCGATGCCTTACTCTCTCTAACCAAACTCATATTCTATAAAAGTGAAGACTCTTCAAGTGCAATATCGGGCAATGAAAGCTAACTATAACTTATGAACCTTTTTTTGGTTATAAAATAAAGGCATAAACATAGTTTGTCATATAATTATTTCCAGTAATTGTGTATTTTGTGATGAATAGAAGAGAGTAGTTAGAATTTCGTAAATATTTTAATAATAACTTTATCAAGTGAAATAAATATGTCACGGAGAGCTTCATCTACTGCCATGCTAGACTACTGAATATAGGTTGTCTCATGTTTATTTTTTGGCTAAAGTTTTTAAATACTTAAGCGCATATAGAAACATAATATAATTTTTTGAGACAATAATTTGTGGCAAAAACTTAATAGGAAGTACTAATTTGGCGCTTATGTACTCAAATTCCAGTAAATAATACGCATATTGAAATATAATCAGTTTGTAGAATGTCCACATTATTCGTTAGTTTAGCTAAATTAACTCCTACAATTTCGATCACTACAGTACCGGCACGCTACAATTATGGCTGTTTTGACGTTCGTCCGCTCATCAAGTTTCATATTGATTCATAACTACGTTGAAGGAGCAGTGCAGTAAAATTTCTGGAATGTATAATTTTTCGACACAATTTGTTTATCGAACTTCGAAATTTTTTAAAATGAAATCTAATACGATCGTCACGTATATGATCGCTGGCGTAAGTCAATGGCTGGCCAGGACAATTTCTACCTCCGGCAAACTCGCGCCAAAGCTCAATGCAAAACAAAGCAGTTTCGAATTGACGATATATTAAGTAAACTTTTTTATTTTCGTTTTATTAAAAGTTCTTAATCAGCTACACCTTGCAATACTAGTTATAAATCTAAAAACTTATATTACATTTGATTTTTTTTCGATAATGAATTGAGATTTGATTTTATAGTACGTACCAATATTCTGTAATTTCCTTAACGCTTTTTCAACACACCAATCTAGAATTTGGCCGTTTTGATTTTGACCAATGCCATTACAAAAATTCGTAGCCATTGTTATGAAAACATCATTCTTATGTAGTTGGATTAACTCTTTAGCATCGCGCGGTTTTTCCTGAGGTTTATCTTCTTTCTTTGGTACTTCCAGGTCGATAGCATTTTTTTTATTAGTCTTTTCGTCATCGGTGTTCACGATTTCTGTTGCTTTTTTTCCTCTATTCTTTGTCCGCCATTTCCTTCTCGAATGATGACTGATCCATCTTCGTTCACGATTAAGAGTTTTGCCAACCAATTCTACATTTTCTGATTTGTTCATTGGTAAAAGTATGGTGGAACTAATTTCATTTAGTTTCATTTTTGTATCATCACGTTTTGCTTTATTATTTCTAGACAAGTCTGTACCGTCTGGAGAACCAAGGAAGTTAGATAGAAAATGTTTCATTAAGTTATCTAAAAGTGTGTTGTTGAAGTAGTATTTGTATATTAAATCGTCTACTGATTGTTCATCTTTCTCATCTAACAGCAATTGATCTTGGTTTTTTAGTTTAGCTAAAGATGGTATCGAAAATAGGTTGATTTTTATGGACTCAGTAGATTTTGGAGTTATTGTTGTAGTATAAATGACTGCATTGGTTTCGGTTGAACGGTTTCGTTCAATCACCTCATTGCTAAAGGCTTTAGAATATGGTAACTTAGGGTTGCTGGGCACATATTTGTTATCTACATATATTTGTTTTGCCTTTTTCAAAATTCTAGCAAAGTTATTTTGTCTATGAGAAATTTCACTTTGGGTTTTAGCAATAGCATTCTGTTTTGAATTTATTCTTTCGTTCTGTGCCAGCATTAGTTTTTGTATGTTATAAAATTGACGTTGTTGCTGTAAGAACTTCTTTTGCTGTATTTCAAAATCAACTAAATTTTTTGATAGTTCTCTTTCCTTAGCTTTATAATGTTGCTCTTTAGCGCTCAGTTTCGTTTCTAAATTCTTCATTCTCTCGGACAATTTCACCAAATTGTTATATTTGTTATCGAAATCTTCAAATTTCTTCGTCATTACATGAATGTTTTCCAAAAAATTTTCATTCGTATGGCTTAGTTTTCTATGTATATCTTTAATGTCACTGTGTTGTTTCATTATCTTTTTGAAAGTCTTCGTAAGCATTGACAGCACTTTGACTAAACCTCTTTCTGTAACAGGTCTTACCACTTTACTTTCTTCTTCTTTAGATTTGATTCTGTTCATATTGGGCAGAGGTGAATTAGGTAATGGAGCATTTTGACGCCATACCTTGTCGTCTTTGTCAAATATATCTCTATCTACGTGTATTCTAGATGGAATACGTCCTATTTCACCCGCAACAATTTCACTGTGAATAATGTCATCACTTAGAGCGTTGCTATTATTGAAATCACCAAGGCCTATCCTTTTAACACTGTCTTCTAACGCAACTGCCATACTCCTTTTGGGCACATTATTACTATTTACTGTGTAATTAATTGTATAGTTAACTTTATCCGTTTTTTCATCACTTACTTTGGTTACAATATCTCCATTAGTGTAGTTAGTATTTGTTTCAGTTATTGGGATAATAGTTTTATTATCATCCCGGATCATTTCGTTAATAACATATGAAGAATAGTTTTTAGCCTTTTCTAACATTCCTTTGTTGTTTCCAAGTAGCAGCGCAATTTCGTAAGGGTAATCATTGAAAACGGAAGCAGGTTTTAGTTTTGTCAACAATTGGGATTTGATTAGTGAAGGTTTTTCGTCAATTACAGTGTTGAGATTGCAATCTCGTTTTGAGCAGTTGGTTAAACTCTTCCTGAAGCGCCGGAGTCGTTTATCTGAAACAAAAAATAAATTATTCCATTTATTCATCCTAATTGCTTCATGGTGTAGTCTCCAATTGTCCATCACATAGTAATTTTGTGATGATGATTGATTGATTGATGATGATGATTTAAGTTTCATTTGTTTTTCGGTAGGTATGTTGTGATTATTCATGAGTGCACTAATTCATATTAACCTTCCGGTGGTCGCACTCTTGCGCCGAACATAAGTTTTCGCGTATGTGACCGCAACTTTACACGTTTAGTTTGAGAAGACAAAATTAATATTTTCATAACGACGTTGTGTAGCACATGATAAAATAATAATAATAATAATAATAATAAAACTTTTATTTCAGGCTTAAGCCCATAGAGTTAGTTACAAGTTATCTTAGAACTAGTGTTAGTAGGTTTGACAAAAATAAAATAAAACTATAAATTACTGCCTGGTGTGAAGCTGCACCCAATGTTGCAACATTGGGGAATCCCACCGGTCTACAAACACACTCAGGAGTCCGTTGTTGCTGCAGCGGAGACGGGCTAACATGGAGGCGCAGCGTTTTCTCATTAGAGCAAAGAAGTCATCCACATGCGCCTCTGCAAACATCCCCGAAGCACTGCAGCGCCACGGCAGCCCCAACAGAACCCTGAATGCGTTGTTGTACTGGACCCGCAGGTCTCTGTATGCACTCGCCGTAAAGCTGACCCAAAGACTGCAGGTGTAAAAAGATTGGCAGTATGCTTTAAATAGCGCAACTTTAACTGGTTTTGTACACCTTGCAAACCTCCGGGCCAGCATATTACAGCGGACAGCCAGAGACCTTCGTTCCCTTCCTATGTCCAGGTTGTCCTTTAAGTCGTCAGTGACCCAGTGGCCCAAGTATTTAAATTTTTCCACGCGACACAAAGGTGTACCATTAAGCGAGATTTCCGGGACATCGGAGTAGGCTTTAGTACCCGATTTAAAAATCATCAGCTCACTTTTTTTGGCATTATACTTGAGCCCATGTGCCACCGCATACGACTCACAGACCTTCACAAGCCTCCTAAGAGCACCAACTGACGGACTCAACAGCACCATGTCATCTGCATAACTGATATTATTCATACAAACACCATCAATATAACATCCGACATTGGCGCTGCCGAGCTCGCCGATCAATCGGTTCATGTATAGGTTGAAGAGCCGGGGCGAGCTCAACCAAAGAACTTTAAAAAAAAAAAGAACTTTACCTATATAAATGAAAGAAAAAACTTATTATATTTTTAATGTGCGCTTATTAGTTTAACCATCTAGAAAAATACAAAATTTTAGTCAATATTACAAATAACTACGTTAAAAATCAACAAAATAACAAAACAAGACGAAATTTTCTATCTTAATCGTTAATAGGCACAACATAATAAATTATTGTCGAGATCAATCAAAATTATCATAATAATCATTTTAAATTATCATCAATGTACACCCGACTGCTGCCTACGGGTTTTTTTATAATATCAAATGACGGAACGAACAAGTCGTGCGCCTGATGGTAAGTTATACGCCTGTCCACAACAGTAACAGTGTCACTCAGAACTTTAAATCTCAAAGATCTGGGCTGCACTGTCATTGTGTCCGTCACCCTGAGACATAAGTTGACAAGTCCCATGTGCCTGTAATTTCACCAGCACCCTTCAAAACTGGAACACAGTAATGACCTAGACCTTCTTGTGAGAGTTCGTCCAGGGAAGTACTGCCGCCTTACCTATTTTTGCCGCCAACCCGTAATGTGAGCATTACTGCGTTCCGGTGTTGAAGAGTAAAGGTGCTGGTGAAATTACAGGGACATGGTGTTTTCAACTTATGTCTCAGAGAGACGGGCGCAGAAGCAGTGCCTCACAGATCCTTGCTATTTAAAGCTCTGAGTGCACTGCAACTTATGGCGTGTAGCTTACCACTATGCACACGACCTGTTCGTCCCTTGACTTAATATTATAAAAAAATGCGTAGGCAGCAGTCGGGTGTATATGGGTTGATACAGTGTAACACAAGGGCACCCTAATTCTGCCCTGCTACCGTATTTTCTACGGTCTATTTATAGTAGCTCTTAACAGAACACTTTTCGTTCATTGGTCTGATTTTCAGGTATCCTTAAGTATATATAATTACGTCTGTATTCTCGGTGGGCGAGACAGGTTCACCGGATATCACGTGAGTAGAAATTGTTAAGGATCTCATACATCAGTTAAGATTTCGAAAAACAGAGACCGTTTCTCGGGTGAGCAGGTCACTACTAGGATTTCTGCTCGAGATTTCTCGAGTCGAGAAATCCCGGGAAATCCGGCCAACTTCGAAACTACAAAAAGCCATATAGGCCGCAGCTTCCTTGGGCAGCACCAGCACAGGACACCAAGTAACAAGAAGCTTAATAAAAAAAAAAGAGTCCCGGCTATTCGAATCAACACAAAAACGAACACCAAACTTGGAAAATTTATATAAGGCGCTCATGACAGTAAGGCTTTACTTTACATCCACGGAAAACGAATCAATCTCAATCTCGGGAAATATCGTCACAGAAATTCGAAATAGGCTTTCGAATGAAGCTATTAATGCACTGTTTTTTTAGAAAGCATACTTCATTAGAATGGGACAGAAATCAAAGTAGACTTAAGATGATTTATATTTTGTTGATACGTTTTTTTTTCTTAAAATACATACTTTGTAATATCATTTATTTGTTAAGTTGGTTGTAATAGTTAAATGAATTGTGTTTGTTTTATTTGTATTTATTTTCATTTTTTAAGGTTTTAAAAGAAGTCTCGAACAACTCGAGAAACCCGGGAAATCGGTCTCGGTTTCAGAATAAGATACCGTGTCATGGGTAGATAGACCATCGTTCCGTAAAGTGAAGACCATATCTCGGTAAGAAAGAGTTATGGTGTCTAAAGAGGAGACCGTATCTCGGATAGAAAGTATTACGGTTTCAGAAGAAGATACTGTATCATAGGTAGACCACTGTTTTGTAAAGCAAAAGATAGAAATAGTTACGGTTTCGGTAAAAGATCTCATGAAGTGGGTAGGTAGGGTACTGGAAAAGCAAAGATCATTTCTCGTTTAGAAAGATTTATAGTTTTGGAAGATGAGACCGTATCTCGGATAGCAATAGTCACGGTTTCTGAACAAGAGATCATATCTCAGACCAAGGACTTGTTAGACAGACAACGTATCCCGTTGTAAGAATTAATTTAGAAACTTAAAATCGCATTTTAGTACTCACGGTCCAACGAACGCTTGGCCCTCTCCACGTAACTCGAAATAAATGGTGAAGATGGTCCATTGCCATCTTCAAAGGGATTAAAATCATTTTGAAGTTGGTTGTCTACGTCAACTGGATTACCTCTGAATAAGAAATTCGCTGTGGATTTATCATTTTCCTTTATACTTTTCACCCAAACTCCCTTGTTTAGGACACTGTTTCTTTCTAATTTTGGTTTCTGATAATTGCTGTCTATTTCCAGGAAATTTGACGTAGACAATGATAGCCGGAGCATAAATATCGATATTATCACTTGTTGATACATCACTAATGTTGTCTTATTGACATTTCGTTGAGAAGTGAATGGGGTTGGTTTGGAATGTGGTTGATATTTGAAGAGTTAGGTGAGACCACGCATTTTTTTAGTTTGTTTGTAAATATGGGACAGTGTAGTGATGGATGGAGTGTGTGTCGACAGATTCATCGATAAATGATGCAAGTGGATTTGTACTTTATTATATATACATAAATTATAAATTTCGAATCAGAAATTTTAAGTCACAATAATTTGGTACAACATTATTATATATGCTAAATATTCTGCTATGGAGCCGATGTACGACTTCGTACCGGTCGCAGTCGAGACGGCGCGGCGGGGCCCTGGGGTTCGGAAGCTCGGGGCTTGTTTAAAGAGTTGGGTCGCCGACTCAGAGACAGGGTCTGCGATCACTGCTCTGAATCGTGGTTGGTTTAGCAAGTGTCCATTGCCGTTCAGCGAGCCAATGCTGCCAGTATAAAGGGAACTTTTGAGCTGGACACGATACGGGGCGTGATTTTTTTTAGGGTTTATTGGTTTTTTAAGTTAAAAACTGTTGCAATACCTAGTTTTTTTTTATTTTAGTACCTATTGACGAAGCCCAGTGCTGATCTTTAATTAGAAATATCTATGTAACATTTGTATGAAGGTGAAATGACAGATACAAGTATTTTCCATGACTTAGACTTTTTGGTTAATATACTTATAGTGTCATTGTATACAGTTATAGTGTCAGTTTTGCTTTATAAAAAATATTTTAAAGTTGTTTTGTGATCTTCTAAATGTTTATCGCAAAAGAGATTTTTGGTAACTGGTAAAAGGGTCAAAAATTCGACAAGTAGACGTGCTCGCTTCGGTGATCGAGCAGGGAGTGGCGATGGAACGAAACGAAATCAGAATGGTGAGGCAAAAGAATTCAATAATGATTCAAAATTTAAAAATAAGTGGCCAGGAACCGGAGATAAAAAAGTGGGATGACGATTTAAGGACTCATCCGTCAGTCACATCTTTACAGCTACCAGCCGATGACTAGAGATGTCAGTTTAATAATTGTAATAAAGTTGTTTTGAATGTCATGTTTCACCAGCACGATATTCAATTATTTTTTGTGAAATTACTAGAGTGGTAGTGTTTAACACGAATTGTTTGTTAGAGGTTGATTTGACTTCTCTTTTTACATTTTGTCATCTTTCCCTGTTGGTACATTTGTTGGTGTACTCATACAAAAGATCGCATATTGCGGATTTTATGTGATCGGTCCATTGACGAGTTCTGCGCAGTTAGTGCAACCTACCTCTGCCATCTAATATTGGATTGGTATTGGTAGATCAGCTGGCAGAGCTGTAGCCACGTTGAGGCAACAGTCGCTGGTTTAAGTCCAGTCGGATCGTAGGTTTTTTTCTTTGTGGTTGTTCGATCTTTGAATAATAATAAGAAATTAAGAGTATTTTCACAAAAAGTAGATTCCTCGTCCCAAAATTATCATTTAACGCTTTTGTGATAACATGTATACTCCATGTAGATTAATGTATGGACGTGATGTTTTAGACACCTTACGGTCACGAAGCCGGGTTAAGCTGAAATTGTTACATGAATAAATACATTTTATCGATATCTATCGACAGTTAATTCCCATCACTAATTGTCAATATTTACGTTGTACAGCTAGTCACGAATTCTGCTATGGATAACATTGATTTTTCCTTTTCTTATTTTGTACAATCGATTAAGACTGACCGCCTTTCAAGGAAATGTTTAAAAAACAAAATACATAATCTGTATTTGTAAACTTCAAGAAATAGGACAATTGGTTTACGGTTATTTTTAGCACAGTTGCATAGATCCCATTGTTAAGTTGTCGTATAACGTAGACTTCTAATAGTAAACATTTTTTTCCCATTTTTTTTAAGATACACTGCCACTGCGCCCGTCACCCTTGACGGCATAATCAAGTAAGGTGGCAGTACTTCCTTGGACGAACTTTTTCACAAGTCTACGTCTACCTTGATTTCAGAAACGCATTGAACAGGTTCCCCTTCGAGGCACTGACAGAGGCGCTCCAGTGTCATGGAGGGTCTCTCTATTACAGGAGGCTATTGAATGCGTGCTTCCAGGACAGGATGGAAAGAAAAGGAAGGAAAAAGCGGGAAGTTTTATCGGCGGCGTGTCGGGTGTGGTATTCCACAGGGGTCCGTGCTGGGCCCTATGTTGTATGTCCTTCTTTCCACCTTCGTCATTGGCTGGGGAAGGACTTAAGAAGAAGCAGCGCGGTTGAGCACGGTCGTGACGTCGTTGGTGGTGGAGAGGATCCACCTGCAGGGCCTGAGGGTCTCAAAAACAAAAACGGTACCAACTCACCAGGACACCAACCAATTATTGGAAACCTTTTACGAAGAACTCCATGTTTAGTTGTGAACTTTACAGGCAGGTGTTATGTGTTAGAAAAGAAACCATTTTACTTTATGTAATAATATTTATTTCTTTTTCTTTTTATCACAGAATTAAGTTTTATAAATAGCATACCTTAATTTAACATAATTTTTTTTATTAAATGGCTTTATACAAAATAATTCTAAAATAAATGTTGTTTTTTATATTTCATATTAAATATATAATTTTTAATCACTTCTGAATTCTGTGGCAAGAATACTAAGAGATCACTTTTTTTTAATTTAAAAATAGGGAAATGAAAATAGGGTAGTCAAAGACGCAGCATACAACAAATATCATAATTAATTATTGTAAATTGCACATTACGAGCAACAGAAGGCGGTGTTGATAAGAAACAGGAACTAGAAACCATTGGATTTTATTTAGAAATCATATTGTTTTGGGGTAATGCCGCCGATAAGATATAATGTAGATGCTAAATTGTAATGATGACCATAAATAAGTAAATTCTGGACGCGGCTCAGCTCTACAGTGTACGTCTGAAACTTTCAGACGTCAAAACCGCTATATGGGTTTATTTCAGCTACTTTCGCCGTTTAATAACACACAGTATTTTGCTTTGGGGTAAGACCGCCGATATTAATAAAATCTTTGTTCTGCAAAAATGTGCAATATAAATATTACAATCTGGGCTGTCTTTGAGAGAGAAGTGTAAAGAAATTAACATTACACTATGCACTAGCGTCAAAGCACATTCACGAGAAAATTTAATTTTTGTCAAGAAGATTAGTGATTTTTCAATTAGTTTAGATTAGTGATTTGATCAATAGAAGGAATAAAACGAGGAATAAAATTCAACTATCTGTTCTTGACAATCGTCTTCACCAAATCACCAATTTGTTTAAAGGAGCTATATATGGTTATACTGCAAAAAATAATCACGATATTTAAAACAATATTGAAACAAAGTAACAAATATGAAACGAGTAAATATACATTTTTATTTGGTGATACGGTTTTCCTGCAGGCAGCCACAGAATCACAAGTTATAATACACAATGGACCTGCCATATGCAATTGTATAAAGGTTCTTAATATATGAAGCGATGGTAACATATTGGAAGAACCGCTAGTTGTTAATTGAGTAGTCGATGGAGCTAACAGTGAAGAAAAACATTGTAATGAAACTTGCACGCTGAAGAAGGTTTACAAAATTTAGAAAATGAAAGAAATTCCTATAGAACCAGACGATGATGGTCCTAAATAAATTAAGAACAACACAATTGTACTTTACGTTTCAATTCCCAGAAAAGTGGAAGATTTTACTTACCTACCCCTTTATAGAATATTCAAATTAAACTTATCATTAAACTAAATTAAATATTATTTAAAAATGAAGAACTGAGCAAAGATCTAAAAAACAGAAGTGATTAGATAAAAGCTGTAAAGGAATTATAATAAATTATTTTTATGTACACTTATTACTAAACTGTTAAAGTAAAACTTAAGTTAACAATAACTTACTAATTTACTACACAAATATAATTTTATAATAGTTGAGCTTAGAAAAAGAATCCCGCCTAATTTCTCTTATCTTATTTACGATGTGCATAACGCAACGTATCGTATTTCTATGCATTTTTGACATATTTTTATCTTTATTAATACATAGATCGAATACATACATAGAAAAAATTCGTTCGATATGACAGTATTCGAACCTGCGTTTGTATGCCAAACTAGGGCCAGCGCTCTACCAACTTAGCTATAGATCGAGTCAGCAGACCCTTACGAATCTTTTGTATTTGGGTTTTTTGGGTTTCTATCGCCGTGGCCCTACGCAGGTTCAACTACTGTCATATCGAAGAAATTTTTCTTTGTTATTCGATCTTTGTATTAAGACTTTGTAATAACAATCACATCATGGTAGTAAAACATCATGATGTTCAATGAAATAAATTTTTATCTATTATATTAACTCCTAGGTATTTGCTACAAATGCCTTAGTAATTTAGGTTCCTTAATTGATTTTGTATTTAAAAAAATGCCCGAGTAGGAATCAATTTATTCTCACTTTTGTACTTTTTGTACTTTTGGACAAGAATTTTGCTGAAACTTTCGACAGTTCGACCCTTAGAGTTTCTTGTTCGTTTTTGGAAGTTTGCTGTTCAACTGAGTAGTAGAACCCAAAACCTTTAAATTCAAGTGCAATTTAAAACTACAGGCATATGGGACTTGTCAACTTTATGTCTCAGGGTGACGGGTGCAGTAGCCGTAAGATCTTTGCGATTTAAAGCCCTGACTGACACTGCAACAGTTATGGTTAGCCGTGTCGCTTACCACCAGGTGCACGGTTTGTTTGTCCCGTCACTTGATCTTAAAAATAATCTACAAAATAACTGGACAATATTAAAAATTGACTTATACCGCAGTTAGTAATTCCTTAGACATCACATTCACTATCCTTTGTGGCTTAGTTTAATACTGTACGTACTGCAGGAGATAGTAACCACAAGCACAATCTTATAAATCGATTCTGCTTAGGGTTTCGACTTATGCCCCGAAGTTTCGCGATTCTTGTACCCATATGACAATGAGTTCCTAGATTGAAAATATCTATAATGGAGTCCAATATAACACAACAATACCAACGCTTCAGGCGATGTCTTCTTTGTTTTCTCCCCTTCGTGACCTGTTCGACGCACGAACGCTGGCTCTAATTGAAGCCCTGGATCCGATGGTACTTAAAACAGCTCTTTGGAACGCCTGGGTGTCTTGGATAGAGGGGCGTTTTGTGTATTTGCCTGGGTTTTCTTCTTCTTCGGGGTCTTCTTGTTTTCTGAAAATATTAAAGACACGTGAGACTCTCTTTATGATGCTAACCTAATGAAAAGAAATAATGTTTTAAGTCCAAGAACTCGAAAAATACTATATATACCTTTTAAAGCAAGGATTATCCCAAAACTTCTGTTCCTTGCCGAAGTTTTCTCCATCTTGAAGAGACTGCGGCATTACCGTGTCCATGGTCTCCGGTAGAAAGAGGCAAAGAAGACCTCCGATTATGCCCAGGATACCCAAGATCAGAAGTGGAAGGTGTTGGGAGACGTTGGCCTGAAAAAAGTGCAATGATTTTAATAATTTCTACTGTTGAGAAGCATGGAATTTTGAAGGAGTCTTCTGTTTGAGATGTAACTATAGAAATCGTGCATTAAAATAAAGATCAATTTAACAAAACTACGGTTTAGCCTCCACAGAACTTGCCCAAGCCTTAGACCATTTGTCGCATAAATTTGTACTACAACAGCGGGACCTGTATAGCCCGAATGGGAAAGTAACAGATTTACTTAGTCTCAAAAAATGGAAGACTCGCATCTTATATGCAATTGTTGAGAATGCATTAACGTTATTAATGGTTACTTCCAGAGGTAAATTTTAGTCGAACAAACTTTTTAGCATTTTCCCTAGCGTTATAATGCCCTGCTTCGTCATCTATAACAGAGTCAAGATAATAACAATCAAGTTATGGTCATAATACACTTACCAAATAAACAACAAATGGTGCTACGATGGAGGCAACATAACCCATAATGTGTATCAAGGCAACGCCCTGAGCCCGTACTACAGTCGGCAATAGCTCTGCCGCGTACTGCAGGCCTATGTTGTACGATATGTTGACTGCGAATCGGCCGAGAATTGCAAGCGAAGCTGAGGGACCGCCTGTCAAAAGGAATTAGGATTTTGTTGTATTATATCGAACCATTTGGCCACATCTACAAACTGACAAGTTTTCAAAAGAGAGGTTTCAAAATTCTACGAACGAAATTAATGGCTATTTTTATACTGCATATAATACATAATTTGTTCTATGTAATTAATATTATTTGTATGATATTCATGTGATAAAAGCACTATAAACGTATGATCACATGTGGCTTCATTATATCAATGATACACCAAAATTGAAACTTAATAACAATTGTTTATTTTCAAGCATAAATCCCATTTTACTTGTACAATGTGACATAATACAACAATAATGATAATAAACTAGATTATAGTAGTAAAATGAAGATTAAAATACAATAAAGTAATAAGATATGACTCGAACAGGTCTTCGTTTAATCTATTTCCTGTTCCATCGCGGTGGAAGGAACGCCAGTTCTTAAAAATGGGACCAGATATATCTGTGGAAATAGCTCCTCAGTACGCCGTTATCAAAACAACGCAATCTGTCCCAGAAGGAAGCAATACGAGTACTGACTACAACAAAGAAGTCAGGCAAGCGAACATGCTCGATGCACTACAGTAGGGTGGTAACTTTTTAAGAATGCGGAAAGCGTCATTGTATTGCGCTTTTAGAGTACTTAGGCTCGCTCTTTTGAAGTTAACCCATAATTGGCAGTTGTAAAAACACTAACATATACCTGGAATAGCGTTAACTTCACTTGTTTACTACATTTCGCGAATCTTCTGGCGAACATGTTACACCGAATCAAGATTGCCCTCCTCTCTCTCTCTCTCTCTCTCTCTCTCTCTCTCTCTCTCTCTCTCTCTGTCTCTCTATGACGCTGTCATCTGTAAGGTCCCTTGTTAAAATATGAGCCAGGTATTTGAACTGCTCCACAACCAAACCAAACTGCAGCGCACTGCTGTCCCATTTAACCAAACATCGGGGCTTCTCTCCGAACCCTTTCCCGCAACAAAAACATTACATATACTTCTTCTTTGTTGCTTCTTTGTAATATAGTTTAAAATATTTACTTTTTTATTTATTTTATTTATTTATTTATTTATTTATTTCAGGCAACTAGGACCCATAGATACATACCTTACAGACTAACATACATATAATATAACAATAATATAATAAAACAATAACAGAAATATTAAATAAATACCTTAAATACAATATAACATGATAATATACAACAAATGATAACATCTCTGTCAAATCTGGTGTAAACCTAACCTACTTTCGAATTAGGGAGCGTGGAAGCTTGAGACACAGATCTCTTGATCTAGTTTAGATTTCTGCCCTACAGATTTTGTTTTTTTAGTAAATAAGACCTGTGAAAATATTTTGTGACCAAAATTTGTGGCGAAATAAATTTACTATTCATTTAAAAACAATAGTTTTTCAAAGACATTACACCAATGCAATGCGGTGAAAGTTATTGCAAAGAAAAAAAAACACTAATTGATAACGATCCTTATACTAAAGAGGTAACGAATTATCGAATCGTAGTCGGTGACGAGGTGGAGCGCAAAGAAACAGGAAGAAATATTTACCAACAGGTACGGCTGTGGCTAGTAAACTGAAGATACCACTGATGACCATAGAACCGCAAGCAAGCCATCTTCGACCCCATCTAAAATAACATAAAATGTATTGTTAGACGATGCGCTTATTATGTCAAGCGAAAACAAAGTGTTTTCCGCATTGTCAGGACATAAAATTGATAAAATTCCGGTAAACATTTCTTGAATTAATAACATGCTCGTTTTTTTAAAGGCCGAATAGTTTTTATAGAGCGTGTGGTGCAAGTTGTACATTTGATATTAATATTAAACGCAAAGATAATTTTAAAAAAGTGGATACTTGGCTGTACGATAGTTTTCCTTAAGTCTGTTTCCATAGTTTACTGTTTGTAGACAGATTTGTAAGTTCATAGCAGAAAACAGAAATGGATTATCGTATGTACTCTCCTGGCCTAGGCCTGTAAAGAGTAGCATGATCTATAAGCTACAAAATACTGCCTTCTTTTTTTCACATTAAAGTAAATTATTTCCGAGCATGTTGAGAAAATATTTTTTACTACAGGAACCTTTAATAAGCTGCAAAACAGAAATTAATTGTAAATGTTTATAGCTTCTTTTTGGGATTGATAAGCAACCTAATAACGTAATTGTAACGTTGTTGGTTAATTTCAATTTGTTTCACCTTATGTTAAAATCTTACCTATCTAAAACTGCAGTCAAAAATGTATCCGCCGGCAATTCAGTAGCCGATGCAATAGTAAAAGTTAAAAATATATCCAATCCTAGCGAACCAACATTTCTTACGTGTCCATCGAACACTAAAGAAATCGCCATCCATATTACTATGAGCAAAATCGAATTCCTTCGAAGTCTAGGCGTTCTGAAGAGATCTAGTACTGAATACGTTTTCGATTCAGCTTCTGATTCCTTGATCGTCTTTAATGATGATTCCTGGAAGAGCAAGATTTTGTTTCAATTACAATCAAAACCATTTTAATATTAGTTTATATAGAGTAATACGTAATACAGATTTATTATATCAATATAATGAGTCGCCATAACTTCGTGACCTAGTAGACAAGCGTTTTCGAATTTTCAAATAATGTCAATACACCTCATAAACTAATATTTTAATATTAAGAGTCGCTCCTGAGCCTACTTAAAGCAAAAGTCACGGTGTACCACAAGGTTCGCTCTTGGGTCTAAAAAGCTATATTCAGGGTATTCTACAAGGTTCATATTTGGGGCTTAAATTATTTTCATTTGATGACATAAAATTAAAAAACCTTATATGAAAAAAGTAGGGTAATATTTACGTAACGCTAGAAAACAACATTTGAACTTACAGTAAAGTCACTCAGTACTTTGTCAGGTATTTTGGTCTTGTTAATTCTTTCGAACTTCTTCATAATCGTCAGAGCTTTGTCGATTTTGCCTTGTGATACCAACCATCTGAAAGCGACAAGATAGAATAGATGACATTACGGAACACTATGCTGCTATTGTCGCATATATCTAGATAAAATAACCATTTAGAATGTGTAAACCTGTTAACATTTGTTGCTAACCGACTTTAAAAAAAGGAGGAGGTTCTTAATTTGACTGTTTGTATGTTTGTTACGCGAACTCTTGTTTATCTATTATACGTATATTGTGAACCAATTTTGATGATTCGTTTTTTGTTGATGAAAGGGTATCTCAGTAGTGGTAGAGAACAAAAAGTAACGAGACCGGACACTCTCCGCTCCTCCCTAGCTTTAGATTTTATTTTTAGATTTTTTAGATTGACTGAATGGTAGTAAGGCTGTCGGCGAGACGTTTTCGCGGTAAGACGGGTTTGATATAGTTTCATTACGAAACTTGTACATTGATATATAACATTGACTTACAAATAAATGGACGACGGGTCTAATATAAAAACCACGAAAAAAATGTCCCAAGTCAACCTATTTAAACGTAGTGACATGTAAAGGAATATGAAAAAGCTAAAACGTTGGAATTTAAATTGTAATGTCATCGCAGTACTGTCTAATTTTGCTTGCTTCGCTGTCAGAAGAAACAAACGAAGACTAAAGCGTGAATGACGCTCTGTATACGATTTTAACGCCCTATAAGTTCGGACACTTTTTAGCGCGGACCCGACGTCCATATAATTGTA